CCCCCCTCTCCCTCTAACAACAAAGGAAAGGGATGAGGAACTTTTCCCTCCTCCGGCAACTGCGTGAATGTTACAAGGTACCACTGTATAAATGTTTTCAATTAACAGATAAAATACATAATGTTTAGTATGCAGAATATGCCATTTGCAACCTGAAAATTACCTGTTCTGTGTTCATTTCTCTGTCCACATATGGGTCAAAGATATGGTGGCGACTAAGAGAAAAATTATCAACATCACTAATTTTCATTGTAGTTATATTCTTCAATTCAATATTCTGAAAAGTTAAAATAATGCATTGCTTTAACTAGAGTAACATTTTTGTGTTTACACTATGCAAAACAAACAATATATGACTAGTTATTATATATAAAATGCCAAATTCTGCCAGAGGCTGAATACCCCAAGCTACCAGAAAAATAAAATAACATAACAATAAAGAATAGCATGAATTGCAAATACATATTAATGATCTTGTAAAATAGCTTTAGGAAGGTAGCATACCTAGAAAGAATCTTACATTTTCACTATATTCCAATCTGTAATATTCTGCAAATTGATGTATGACAATAATAATGTAATACCTTTTATGGACTGAAAACCAAACATAATTAGATGATGCAATAAATAATAAATATGAAGCATTCAGATATTAGCTTAGTGGTCCTTATAACAACAGCCACTAAGATCCTTTCCATCACTCCCACTTCAGTAAAGGATGAGAAATAGCAACTAGGCTAGAGAATTTAGAGCTATGACTAAATTTACTTATGCATCTTTCATCTTACAGCTCATACTTTTAATATTAAACTACATCAAAATGTTCTAAAGGTTTATCAGAAAAGGAGATTAACTGCAATATATAATGTTTCTGAAGTAGGAAGAGCACTGTGTGCAACAAAAGACAAGTAGAAAACTAGCCAGAAGCCCTCATTCTGAACTAAATTAGTCATGCTTAAACTTCTCTGAAATTAAGGACGCTGAGAGTGACAATTAACTTGTTTCATCAATTTCAATGCATTTAAGCACAACTAATTACCTCTGATTAGGACCGCTGAGTATAACGTAGGCAATGCCAATACCCTTAGTAGTATGAGTCTGTACAATTACATACTTTGTTTTAATATTTGGTATGCAAAAAAAATGAATTATAGGAAGTATTTTGCATAAAACATCCAATGAATTATGACATAGGAAAAACTGTTGAAGCAAGTAAAATCTTTTCATAAAGCATTCAAAATTTCCTCAGAAAGTGCCATAACACATACTTGATGTATGCATTAATCTGAATGGACAAAATTGATTTAAACAACTTTGGCTTCATTAGCAGCTAGAATATCACCCAATACTCATGCTGTCATTCCCTGTTCCTACAATCAACCAATTTGTATTAGTGTTATAATTAACTCAAACCTATTATACATTCTTGCATTAGCCATTATCACAAGATAAGTATTTTAAACTGTTAGAATTTCAGCAGTTTGTAATGTATTTGGAAAGAATACTCACTTCAAAAGGATGGGGGGGAGGAGGAGGCAGGCTTGCAACTCTAGCAGCTCTTTCTCTTTCTACATCAAATGCATGCTTTCGTGCATTTGCTCGCCTGGTTTAAAAAGTAAGAAAAGGTAGCAAGAAATAGAACAGGTTAATCAAACCTCTACTTTCTTGCAATATTTCTAAACTACAAATGCCACAGATGTAGAGATAAATCTTTGCTATCTTTGGTTCTGGACTAGGTTTGTAATCTGGACTCACAGCTCCTGCTTGAGGAGCAGAGAACAACTGGCCTTCATACAATTATATATTGTGTACCAGTTACAATCTTACCTGGACTAGGAAGCCCTACTTATAATCGCTCATGACCTTAGTCACCTTTCATTTGGACTACTGCAATCCACTCCACATGGGGCTACCCTTGAATACTACCTGGAAATTATAAGGTTCAGAATGTAGCAGCTCATGTTGTGATAATTACTAGTAGGCATTCTCATGTAACATCTACGTTTTAGGAGCTGTGCTCATTACCAGTTACTTTCCAGGATCAATTCAAGTGGCTATGTTGCTGGTTCTCACCTACAAAGTCCTACATGGATATCTTTGGGACCACCAACTCCTAGTGGTTTCTGCCTGTCCAGTAAGATCTGGTACAACAGGATTTTTCAGGAACCTTCCTTGAGAGACTATCATATGAAGGGATTTCAGAAACTTCCTCATGGAACAGTATCTCCACCAAGATTAGATTAGCTCCCTCCCTGTTTATATTCTGAAAAGCCATTAAGCCTTGGCTGTTCTGAAGGGCTTTAGATATGGACCTGCTATGAAGAGGGAGGCCCCCTTTTATAATATGTTTTTGATGTCTGACTGCCTCTTTGGCACTAAGTTTGTTCCAATTTACTTGTTTGTGTTATTTCTGCTATTTTGATATAGGTTTTATAAGCCACTCAAAATCTACATATGCTAGAGCAGCATACAAATCCAAGTAAATAAATAAATAAATAAAAACCTGTCAAGGCAGTCCCTAATTCTGGCAATTCTTCCTAACAGCCCAGTTCAGAATGTTCAGGTTTTACGAGGGACTAGAGTTGGAAGGGCAAAATCAATACACACAGCTGTGCAAATTAGCTTCCACTCACATTAATACTGGATTCAACCTTAAATACATACACACGGAAGAATGTTTTTAGATATTTCAGCAGTGAAAGTTTGCATTACAAAAAGATTATTATTATTACCTTGTTTGGTCTCTCAGCAATTTTTCCTTCTGATTTTTCTGTTCTTTCAGTGCTTCCTTATACCTCTTTTTTGCTGTTTCTCTCCTTTCTTCCGCTTGCTTTGCCAGTGCCTCCAAATCAGGCTCCTTTGAAAGGAGAGACAAGCAGACAGCTGTAGCATGTCAGGCAGCTGCCACTAAATTAATTTAAATGAGAAAAAAAAGCTCCTTCCAACAATTATTTTTAAAAAAGTAGTTTATATGTTTTCTTTCTCTACAAAAGCATCTAAAGCAGCCATTTTCAACCTGGTGATCTCTTGCTCTTTTGAGGACTACAAATCCCAGAACTTAGCTTCAGCCGTGCTAGCTGGAAATTCTGTCAGGAGGATACCAGGTTAGGAAATGCAACTGCAGGAAGTTTCCCTTTCAGACAGATTTCATTGCCCCAAAACTAGCCCTTGGCTCCAGTTTCTCATTAAAAAAAAAAAAGCTTTCACAACCAATATCAAGACTTTTCTTTCAGTCCACAAGATAATACGCTATGACTCTAGTGCTGGCCCACTTCCAGTGAAGCAACACACACACCAGCTTTGCTCGATTCCTGAGAGTATGTAGCAGAAACCCTCTACCAGTTCTTCTATGATGCCCCCTTTAAAGACTTTAAAGAGAATATTTTGCCCAGAAAGAGTAAGATTTTTCCCAACAAAAATATCCTTATGAATCTGAATGTTCCATATCATTTTCCCATCTTCTCTTAAGAGATCACCTATACATATGAAATGCATACATTATACATTTGCAATTACCTCAATATAGTCCTGAGTATTGCAAATGCTTTAGATGGGAATTGATTAAAAAGCACAGCTGCCTCATCAAACAAAATTGAAATCTGCTACATGACTGACCATTCTTATATTTTCATCTCTTTATCATGAGTTATATGTCTTGTTTTAGTCACATATTATTCACACTGCAATTATAAGGATTTTTTTAACATACCAGTGTGCAATATACATACATATAACCCATCATGCTACTCCCTTTTAGGGAAAGCAACATTATGCAAAGGGCAGAAACAGAGTACAACTAGTAAGCCAGAAAAATTAAAGACAAGACAAAGAAAAAAAGAAAAAAGAAATATAGCCTAATCTACTTTACACCAACATTATTCACTATAATTCTCCATAACTTTCTATTCTTGCAAACCATCCTCGCTTCCACCTTGTTCATTCACCTCTTCATACATTGCTTTTCTTTAAATTTCTCATCTCTCTTTTTATGAGAATGTAACAAACTCCAAATAACCAAAACTTTCAATCTTCCTCTTGACCCATTCACTCTTCATGTTTTGTGACTCAATCTTCTTTCTCACTGTACGACCAATCCATATCCATACTAGATAAAATAAATAGGATAAAAGTGTCCTACCATGCACACCTTTAAATAA